GATTCTTTGGATATTACATCCTTTTGGGTGATGCTATATCAGGACCAAGTAAAATAATTAAAAAGAAGACAAATACTCTAACAGAAACAGTTAATAATGTCGGACAAATATTAAATTTGTCGATGCATTGGTCGATTTAGCGAATTATTAGCATACAAATGACCTATAAATTAATTTCTGATTAACAAGGAAAAGAGATTTTTCACCCATTTTTAGTATCTTCTCAGCATCAAACAAATGATAAAAGTTTTATTAATTCTGGGAAAAAAACGAATTACTACATTGTTTCGCGTAGTTTGTGAGGCGCAGCCGAATTATACATTAAATAAGGAGGCATCTACAGCAAATATTGAATATGAAATATATTATTATGAATATTATTATTATTCATATTAAATATATTACAGCAAATATTAAATATATTAAAACAAATATATAGAGAAAATATTGAATATTAAATGTATTAATATTGAGATATTAAAAAGATTCTTGATAAAATACAAATAAGAATCTGCAAAGTTATTGGCCCTGAATTGGCAACTCGGCTGCAGTCCATTTGCAACTTCCATAACATAGATTTCCTGTTCCTTTTCTATCAATACTTCCATGGTAATTGTTCTGATTAACTTTCCACTATGGTACCTAGACTTAATGAATTTAAGTGCAGTATTAGATTGGCGGCAAGGTCTCATCATTTTACAATTGAAACGGCTAGATGTAACCGTAAGTTCTATACTAACAGTTTCTTCTACCGTACTTCTCACTTGTGTATCACTTTGATATTCAAATATTTAAAGGCAATGTCAATCGTTATCTTCTCTCCTAAATAGTAGTTTTTCTCCCTTGCGTTCTAGTGGCTTTATTGCCTTGTTTGGGGTGAAATTATTAAAAAAATATCCTGTTTAGTATCATTAATTTGCTTGTCATTTACCTGATTTTACCCAGTTGGGTATCTACCGTGCGTATCTGTTTACGAGCGGGAGTAGAGGGGAAACGACATGGTCGGGTCTCGAAAGGGTTGTTTTTTTTTTGTTTTTTGGGTTTTTTTTTGTTTTGTTTGTTTTGTTTTTTTTTGTTTTTGTTTTTTTTTTTGTTTTTGTTTTTGTTTTTTCTGATTTGTTTTGAAAACATCCTAAATCGGAAACGTTTTCGGGAGAAGTGGTAAACCAATATGAATGTATTTATAACTGCAAAATTACAAGCTGATTTTGTCAAACCCTGTCACTCACAATTCGCTGTGTTATATGTACCTGGTATACACTCAACAGGCTGTCATGATGAGTAATATACCAATCAAGGTGTATAAAATATACCAAGTTTGATATGGGCTCCAGATATATTCATACCCCAGCGACAATTAGTTGGCGTACCGTTCTCTCACTCAGTAAATAATAATAATAATAATAATAATAACCTGGTGACTTAATGCTAAATCAATTAATAAAAAGAAAGCGAGCGAAAGAACAGTATCTTTTTTCACTGCACAAAAAAAATATTACCGATCAGACATACTAAATATGGAGAGATATGGTAGGAATTAAAATATGACCCTATCTTGACCCAAAAATGCTTACCAATGTCCACAGGAACATCATGAGAAATAAAAGACTCTCAAATACAGAAATAGATAAGATAAAACTAAATATAAGACAAATTACAATCAGACATAATCCAAACAAAAGTGAGGCAAGAGTGGAAACAGATATGACAGAAGATGAGATACAAACGAAAATAAATGAGATACGAAATAATGATCTCTCAGGAAATAAACGGAAGATCTAGCTGCGACATAAACAATTGCACTGATGATGATTTTGTCACTGCTGAAGAGGAATCAAACGGCATCAGAGGAGAATTTCTTGAAATCACTGAAGTGAAAAATCGCATCATTCAAATAATCAGCAAAGTAATTCGCACACAAATGTCAGAAACATTCTATCAAAATTCCAAATGACAATGTCCAATAAATATATAATGCTTCATTGAAAATATTTTAGACGGACAAATCACAAGAAAATATCACAAGTAAACAATGTCACATATGCAACAGTCTTTGGCAGCAACTGAAAAACTTAATATCAAGATAGATAAAAGATTAAACTGCAGACAAAAAGAGCCCCTTTCGAAAACAAAATTAAAGCGAGAAATTGAGGAAATCAGGTGTGAGTTATCGATACTAGATGAGATTTTAAGAAATTCAAATTTTTAAACACGGAAGATCAAGCAGAAATATAAAATTAAAGTAACAAATAAAATTCTACCAATCACTTGAACAGAAACTGAAATTAAAGGCACATATAACAAGACGATACGAAAAGCGTTGTAGGTTCTATCGACAAAATAAGGTATTCCAAACGAACTTCAAGAAGTCTTATAGGGAAATTGGAAAAGCAGTTATAGAAGTCAAAAAGCTACAATCTATTGAAGAAGTGCAAACATTTTCGGAGACTGTTTGGAGCAACCGAAACGAACATAATTCCAATGCAGAGTGGATTAAACGAGAAGAAGAAAGAGTAAATGATAAACTCGCGCAAGAATGGAAAAATATAACCTAGAATAATGTTAGGCAAGCTCTAACAAAATACCAAAAATGGAAATCCCCAGGAAATAAAAAGGTACCCAACTTTTGGCTTTATCATCTGTCATTAATTCATAAAAACCTTGCACAAATTTTATCAATGATAATTAACAACCCAATGAAATTCCAGAAATAATCCCTGAAGGGATTATATATCTCCTACCAAAAACGGGTGAAACAGATGATCCAAATATTATAGGCCAATAACATGTCTGTCCACTACATATAAATTGATCACGTCTGTCCTAACTATACATACTCATTTCTTGATGAAAACAACATTCATCTTCTGGAAGAGAAGGAATATCGAAAAGGTTCATATGGTTTCAAAGATCAAATTAATAAAAGGCTCCTGGAAAATTGCAGAAAATATGGTAAGAATTTCAGCAGAGCTTGGATAGATTAACGTAAAGTCTTTGATAGTGTTTCACACGCTTGGATACTTAAAGTTTGGGAAAAATACAAAGTTTTGTGGGTGATAGTAAATTTCCTTAAAGACAGAAAGGAACTGGAAAACCACATTATACATAAATCACAAAGGTATTGCCACTTCCAATTCTTTGAATATTAGACAAGCAATCTTTCAAGGAGACTCTGTGGCCACTACTGTTGTGTCTGTCCTTAATCCACATTTTACATGAACTAAACAGCAATAACTATGGATACAAAATAAAAAATAAGGTGTTTAATCACTCATTCTATATGGATGATATCAAACTCTTTGCCAAATACGAAACTGAATTGAAGGGCATCTTCAATACTATAAAATGCTTTAGTGATGACACCAGTATGGAGTTCGGATTAGTAAAAAGTAACATTCAAGAAAGGTTGAATTACAGAAACACACTCGATAGATATAGATTTTGTCAAAAGATTAGCCTAGACTAAATATTGGTTACCTACAAACTGCTCCTGATCAAATTTTACATCGACCTTGCACATAATATACACATTCTTCCTATTTGACACACATGAATAGAAATCTTTTGAAGCTGAAAGCCGATAGAGCTCTGATTGCATATAGTTTTTGGTATGGCCTCAAAACCACCACCTCTTACAGAAATTGAATTTTATGATCAGTATTAATGATCCACAAATATAACCATGAATGCCCTCTGTAAAATCTCCTATTAATTATGAAAATAATAATCCTGTATTAATTATTGTCTGAAAAGTAAAGTCCAATAATAATTATACTTTATTTTAATATTTGGTAATAATTATTAATTTATGTTTTTAAAAAGTCAGGTATTGATTATAGGTTTCTATCTATAACACATTAATTCACAGCAGTCCCCAAAAGAAGATGGTGGGTATCATTTATGGATTGAAATATATGAATCGCTATAGACAGCGTATATTCACAGTAAAAAGCAGTCATGTGCTAACTGCAGCCCCGGGTCACATGCATCCCGATGATGGACTTTCTGAATGATAACCCAAATTTCATTTTATTAAACATTTTTTGGTTTCATTTCGATCTCACTTGTTCACTCTCATATATAGCCACATACATAACCAATGACTAAGTACAATGTTCCCTGACTTTTGTAACCTTTTGTTGATGATAAGTTTGAAATGGATAAATTAGAAAGAAATCACACCCAACAGCTTATCACACATCATGGATAATGTTATACCAAGACTACAGTTTTCTAATCATAGAAATATTTTTTTTACTAAAGAAAAAAATCGAATTTTTTCCCATTACTAAAGTAGATGCTTACGCGGTCTAAATCTGTGATGAAAATATCTCCGGTACCGTCAATTAAAAAAACCTCCTTGTGTTTGTTTTTGTGTTTGTTTTTGTTTTTGATTTTTTGTTTTTGTTTTTTTTAAGTAGCGTGGTCCGGATTATGATGAACTATATTACACGCAACTCAGTACTCGAAAATGGTTGCCCATCTCTGTTATAAAGTGATTAAACTCTAGTAGAAGCACCACGTTGACTATCTGCCGATTATGCACAACAAATATTATAAAAATATTGAATTTCAGATCTAGAACTGTAAAAGAATCAGCATAGAATAAATAATGAGGAAAAGAAAATATCAGCGAAGAAATATATTGAAACCAAAAGGTCTGTAAAGAATTAAATAAAATAAAAACATGTGAAAACATACAACAGGAAACAAATGGGAAAAATGCAAGAACGGCTAAGATGTGGAGAAAAATCCTAAATCGAAATACGAAAGAAATCGATTGCGGAAAAAAAACTCCGTATCACTCTTGAAAAGCAAAGCCTGGAAGAAAGTAAAAGCAGCAATCGAATATGTCAACGAACTGTTGCAAAATGTTGACATTAAAGATATAATGGTGTTAAAATTTGTGGCCGAAGCAAATATATCACCAAATGCAATATCAAGCAACAGGGACGATTTGAATGACCAAACTCCAAAGAGGTGCAAATCTGCTGTAAGACATGTCTTGTAATAACAGAGAACATTCGAACACTGTGCAAGAAGTAAGGATTAAATAAAAACCATTACAAATCAATCAATTCAATGTTCTACTTTTTAATCTTGCTTATGACTAAATAAGCTAAACTAAAATGTAAAAAGCATAAACTACAAGAAAACAGAATGCATGGTCATCAGTTAAAGGATGAGCCCGAAATGCGATTTACAGGTCGGGAACACTAGAATCAAACAGACGCTGGAAAGCGTCTTGACAGACGGCGGTAAGTGCGACACTGAGATCCGTAGGCGTACTAGGATGGCCAAGGACACATTCCCAAATCTGGGCAGCGTACTGCGAGACAGGAGGATATATTTGGTAACAAAGAAAAGGATACTAAACAATTACGTGACACCTGTTCTTCTTTACCTCAGCGAATGTTGGACGAGTTCCTCAAAGATGAATAAGAGACTCGAGGCGACGGAGATGTGATTCTACAGAAGGATATCATGGACCGAGCATGTGAGCAACGATGAGCCTTAGAGAGGTTACAAGCAAGGAGGCAGCTTATACTTAATATCAGGAAGAAGCAGCTGAAGTTTCTGGGACACATAATTAGAAAGAGGGGCCTGGAGAATCTGATTCTCACGGGTCGAATAGAGGGAAAGAGAGACAAGGGAAAACAACGTGTGACATACCTGGCAGGCTTATTAAGATGGCAGAACATGGTCTGGGGGAGGAAGCAAAGGGAGGGAACTTGTTGAGAGCTGCAAGTGATAGAGAGACGTTGAGAGCCATGATCGCCTACGTTCTGATAGGTCATGGCACATAAAAATTAAGAAAGGTTATTTGAAGCCAGAAAATATCTTATAGTTTGCAAGAATTTTGGGGGGATAATAATGATTTATTGACACGTCCTACTAATTAACACATAGCTGGGAGGAGATGAGGTGAATTCATACCTTAACCAAGGGTATTTGCTCGTAAGTGAACGTAACGAACGTGAGTGGAATTTGAAGTCGCAACTCCGATTTACAATTCCAAGTCGTTATCTATTAGACGACACACGCATACAAGTTTGCAGCAACTAATATTCCTGAGCGCTCTCCCATCTAGGTACTGACCTGGCTTAATGATGTTTGACTTTGGTGATCGGATCAATGCCGGTGTTTCAACGTGATAGAAATGATAAAAGAAAGAATGATTTCCAAATACCTACAAAACTGTACTTTCCAAGAAAATGAATTCTACCTGGACATAAATCGAAAAAAGAGGCGCTGCGTAAACCGAGATGCTACCGAAGCAAAAAATTTCGGGAAAATGAACATGACAATTCAAGTGAAACACAACGATTCCCCAGAAGGATTAATGAAAATGAGGGCGAAATCTTCAGGCAAGAGAAGGAAAAAAACGCATTGAAATACATTATAGGTCAACAGATTGAGGGTCACCCTCTAGATTTGGTAGTAAACGTGATACATTTTTGTTTAATTAATTTCTACTAAACTAAAATGCTGAAGCTTTTTAACCAATTAGTGCTTGGTGTTCGATTTTTTTAGACATAGATAGGGTTTACTAAAATTTAAAAACTGTCAGCCATTAACCAAAAAGCTACTTTAAGCAAAAAGAGCTAAAATTTCAAAGCAACTTTAAGTAGTAATGAATGAATTTAGTTATTATTATCATTATTATTATTATTATCATTATTATATTTCGATTTCTGGTATGGTCACGCTACCTACCAAATCTGTAGGAAGACCTAAGGCAGAAAATGGTGTGTTGTAATATCTAAATTTCAATATTTGTTTTTCTAACTCCCATAGCATCACTAGCGTTACATGGACAAAGTTCTTCTTAGTGTGCTGGCTTTCAAGACAATTTTTGTATTTCTGTTAAGCTGAGATTTACAAGGATTTTTTCAATGTCTTTTTGTGTATCCATTTTTTGTCATTCCAAGCGCACCTACCATAACTGGTACTATTCTTTTGTTCAATTTACACATTGTTTTATTTCGATTTCCAGTTCTTTATATTTCGATGGGTTTTTTTTTTATTTCCTTTGATTTCTCGTGTGTACACATTCCGTTACGGGTCCCGCCTAGAGACCTAAGGTTAGAAATGGCATCATGACATTTTCCACTGACACAAAAAAAATTACATAGATAAAGCCCTTCGTAAAGTGTGGGCTGTACTTGTGAGAACAATTTTTTGTATCTCCTTGAGGCATGGACATCCAGGAATCCCTTCAATTAGTCTACTGCAATCTTTTCCAACCAGTCCTAGGGCTCCAACTACAACAGAGATTGTTGATGTTCCCATATGCCACATTTTCGAGATTTCTATTTCAAGGTCCTTGTATTTTGACAACTTTTTGAATATCTTCAAAGATACATTGCAGTCAACAGGGACTGCCATATCAATAAGGAGGCGCCGTTTTTGTTTGTGGTCTTTAATAACAATATGTGGGCATTGATTGTTCTGTCAGTGTAGTCCCATAGAATTGTAACAGGTCCTATATCCGTATTATTATTATTATTATTATCATTATTATTATTAATATCATTATTATTATTGAATCATTATTATTATTAATATCATTTATTATTATTATCATTATTGAACATATGATAAAATCTTTCAGGAAGAGAAAATATCTCTAGTCTGAAGTGAGCTACTAAATTAATTTTGAAAAAGCCGCACAACTAAAGAATGGTTCCAAACTTTTGCCTCTTGTGTAAACAAATAGACCCTAAAAAACATTCTGAAAAATAGCCAACTGGAAAGCACCAGCAGATTATGGGAATCACGGATATTGGGTTATGAGGTTCAATGTGGTAGGCGAGAGATTAGTCCAGCAACTTCAAAAAGAATGTACAAATGAGTGAAAAAGTTGCAGAATAGATGGCGATAGACAAAACCACCATCGTCGAAAGTGACACTAAAAAATTGAACCTAGTTGAACAACTGCAGACTGAGTTAGAGAATATTAACAAGAAAAAAATAGAAGAATAAAGGAATTCATAGATGACAGATAGCATAGGATTAGCACCAGAAAAAAAAAAAGCAGGACGGATAAAAGAGAGGAAGACCAAAGGTCAAAATGACCTTCTCGACATTGAACCAGATGATATTGGAAGAACTAAAAGTTAAATCCTAAAAAAAAAAAAAAAAAAAAAAAACCCGGAAAATCTGCAAGAAGACAGAATACAAAATGTCATACGATATAATACAATACAGTTGGATACTCAGGCGCCTCAGAATACTCAAATTAGTTTTGAAATTCCTAGTTAATTCTATGAAACACTGAGAAATGAACGTTCCTGTGATGGGATAATCTTTAAACAAGATTGTTATCAAAAGACGGGTTTTTTCAGAAAGACTTATTATAGTTAATCTAATTATAATTCTAATAGACTGCGAAGACATCATTTCTTCAATGTAACCACCTCATCTTTCTAGATAACATATAACTATTTACCAACAATAGAAATAACTAGAAGCTACTTTCTCTTCATCTTCTTTCCCTTCCTCTTCTTTTCCCACCTCTTTCTCCTCCACTTCTTTCCCTTCCTCTTCTTTACTCACCTCTTTCTCCTCCACTTCTTTCCCTTCCTCTTCTTTCCCCACCTCTTTCTCCTCCACTTCTTTCCCTCCTATTCTTTCCCCTTCTCTTCTTTCTCATCCTCCCTCTTCTTTTTAACTTCTCTTCTTTCCTGCCTATTCTTTCCCCTCCTCTTATTTCCCCACCTCTTATTAGCACCCTTTCTTCTTTCCTCTCCTCTTCTTTCCCCTCCTCTTCTTTCCCCTCCTCTTCTTTCCGCCTCCTCTTCTTTACCCCTTCTCTTTTTCCATTCCTCATCTTTCCTCTCCTCTTTCTCCTTCTCTTCTTTCACCTCAGCTTCTTTCCCCATCTTTTCTTTCTCCTCTTCTTTTCCTTCCTCTTCTTTTTGCCTTCTCTTCTTTTTGCCTTCTCTTCTTTCTCCCTCTTCTTCTTTTCCTCTCCTCTACTTTCCCCCCTCTTCTTTCCCATCCTCTTCTTTTCGCCTCCTCTTCTTTACCCCTCTTTTTCCATTCCTCGTCTTTCCTGTCCTCTTTCTCCTTCACCTCAGCTTCTTTCCCCATGTTTTCTTTCTCCTCTTCTTTTCCTTCCTCTTCTTTCCCCCTCCTCTTATTTTCACTTCCTCTTCTTTCTGCCTCCTCTTCTTTTCCCCTTCTCTTTTAACCTTCCTCTCCTTTCCCCTTCTCTTCCTTTAATTTTTTTCCTTTTACATTCATCGTTATTACACTCTCCCTCCAGAGTATTCTCAGTATCCTTCTGAATAAATTTTCAAATCTCCTTTTCATTGTCTCGCATTTGCTGTGAGATAGGAGGATTGATAATACATCGCATTTTAAAATTCTCGCTTGCTTCTGAATTTTCTTGTTTCCTCGTACATTGCTTAGCTTTTAGAACACATTTTTTGCTACTTCAATTCGCCGTCGGATATCAATGTCACATTGTACATCTTCTGTTAAAATATGTAAACTTCTGTACTTGCTTGATACGAACACTCAAGAATGACCGACCACATCGGAATGGAATTTGTGATAGACAAAAGCACAATATATTTAAAAAAAAAAAAAAAAATCAATATTGAAGTTAACAACACAGGACCGATGGAAACATCCCCTTACGCAAATTTTTAAAAAAGTTCTTTTTTTTTATAAATCTTCAAAGATGCGTTATTTGGATCAAGTAAAAGAGAAATTCGTTTAACAGAAATAGTCAACAATTTCGGGCAAATATTAAATTTATTTCAGCTATTTGTCGATAAGTTGATCGCTTTTTATGGAATTACTAGCGCACAAAGAACTGATAAATTAATTTCTGTTTAAAGTCAGTATTTTATCAATTGTTTTCTAATTTTTCTTTTTTGCATTCATGCAACTTCAGCATCTTTTTAGCATCAAAAGGATGATAATAGCTTTAGTAATTTTATGAAATTGTTCACACCCACTTCTCTTTGATTTTGGGAGAAAAAAATCATTACGTTGGACTCGGAGATGTAGCCTAGTTAGGTAAGGAGACATTTGGGGGTAAGTTTCAGCAAGTTATTCTGGTAGACTATTGGCGTTTCTGCGTATGGATGACGTATGGACGACATAACAAAAATAAGTACTTGAATCACCGATCTGCGAATCTGTATGAACACAGGATTCGATGGATAAAATGGCGTCTAAAATACGCAAAAATGAAAATAAATCATCTCATTTTAACAGATATATTTAACAAAATTACACAAAAACTAAAGCGTACTAAAGAGTAAATTTATTCAATAAAACATCATTGGTTTCAACCATGTCCTCCAGACGACTTCAGAATCTCCATTAACTTTTCTGGACGGTCTCCTTGGTGAATGCTGCCATAATCCTTGCCTTCAGTTTATCTTTCGTGTTACAAGGAACTTTGTTGGTCTCTAACACAACTGCTTCCCACACATAATAATCAAAGGAGTTGCAGTCTAGGGAGTTAGGTGGCCAGATGTAAGGGGTGATGTGGTTGCAGAAATTGTCTGACAGCCATGACTGGGTTCTTCTGCTTGCGTAACATTGTACAGTGTCCTGTTGCTAAACATAGGGTCTTCCAGCAGCCACCTTCTTGACTCAGAGCAGCACAACCTCCTTAAGGTACTTGATGTAGCCCTCCGTTATGACTCTGAGCCACTGTGGGAAGATGAATGGAAGCATAACGTCGTCATCGCTAGTGATCACGCCAAACACTATGATTTTGACTTCTAACCCTTTTCCTAATCTGCTGCAATGTCCTCAGATTGATAAACGAACACTCATAAATGTTCGTATTGGAGCATCCGGTGCGAATGCCAAGCAGTACAGCATGCTGTTTCCAAATTTCTGGCGGAGTGAATTGCGTCTTCGTGCTCTTTTTCTCGCAGACGGTGCCCAACTGACCCGACTATACTGTGCAGTCGACAAAATCCAAACCAAACAACGCGAAATTAAAAATATAAAATGGCGACAATTTACCATCGCACCCTGTATATCTTTTGAAGGCTTACGGCCACATTACGTTGAAACACAGATTCCTGTAAGATCAGCGAGGTTAAGCAACGTCGAGTCTGTTTAGTACCTCGATGGGTGACCGCTTGGGAATACCCGGTGCTGTAAACTTGGATGCGTGCGTAGTATAATGGGTAATGGCTCGGAAGTTTTAATCGGATAGTCCAATTCGATTTCCAGTTGGGGGCGTTATATTAACTTATGCGCAAATACACTTGGGAAAGGTATGGATACGCCTCTTCTCCTCCTAGCTGTGGGTTAATTAGTAAAACTTGTATCATTAGAACCATTATAATTTTCAATAAAGGAATACAGAAATAAAATAAAATTGCGTACAAAATATTTATATTTTGGCTTTAAACCTATAGATGTTGATATACCGCTAAACAAAAAGAGCCAATCGATGACTCAATGACGACATTGTAACGGAATTTCCGATCAACAAATGCGCAGTGTTAAAAGTTCACAGAGGAAGACATGAGACAATAAAACAAATTGACAATTTGCTAGAATATGGAGCATTAACAATACGAGCCGATATAAATACCTCAGAATACTCAACTATAACTCAATAAAGTATCAAGAAATGGAATAAGGAAATAAAACTGGAACCCCTGAGAAGGATAAAAAAAATAAATAAATAAAACCAAGCTATTAACGTGAGTCATAGTTAATTTCCGTTTATAGGGACCAATTATAATGACGAATGTATTATTCTAACTATGCGTTCTGTAAACCTATAACAGTTGATGAAAAATGGCTTACACTCAACAACATTCAACGCGAAAGTCAGTGGATTGAGAAGGATAAATCTTCACAACCGGCCCCCAAATTTGAGCTCCATGGAAGAAAGGTAACATTTGACCTGTGGTTTGGATTGGTGGTTATCATTTATTTAGAGTTCTCAAAACGTAATGAAATACGAAACGCTAAACCACACGTCCAGAAACTGCAAAATGTCCATAAAAGATTGGGCGAAAAGCCCTGGGCTGGTCGAAAGGAAAACTGTTGTTCGTCTCCATGACAACGCAGGGTCTCATCCAGCAAGAATAACACAGGTAAAATATTTGGAACTCCTTTGATATTATATACATCACCCGTAATAATCTATGATCTTTCACTAGCCGATTATTATCTCTTTCGATCGATGCAAAACGTTTTGATGAGGATATTCTTCTCTCGTAAGAAATCAGATTCGAGTGTTCAAAAAACTTTTCCCCTTAAAAATTTTACTCAAAAGAGATACTTTAACTGGTAACAAGAAACTGCAAATAAAGGTGAATATTCCGGGTGTAACAACAAAATTGTACAAATCATGTAACAGCAAAATTGTTCATTTGTTAGGTTAAGCTTTGAAGCTTTTTATCTTAGAAATGGTTAAAGATATCTTACTGGAATTATACGAGGTTTTTATAACAATATTGGACTCCACTTTCAGCAATAAGAATGTATAATTATTTTCCAACTCAACAGAAAAATCGTGATGACATCGATCATAATAAAAATTACATTTTTCTCATTAATCAATCATGGCTAAAGATCGGAAGCTCATGAAGGATTGAAATTAGGTTCAAATATATATATATATATATATATAAGTGCGCAGGCATGCAGAAAATAGAAAAGAACACGTTGGGTGCATAATCCGGAGTTCCTTAGTATTTTTGTTTTTATTTTTAAGAAGACAGTGCTCCATACAGAAGTAGAGCTTATATTATAATATTTTTTTGTTTAAAAATATGATTCCTTCGCTACATAAGAGTTCTCATGTTTCAAAAACGAGAGCTGAAACCATCCAAATAATTATTAAAATTAAGTTTAATTGAGGTGTTTAGTCCCGTTTCATCTTCAAGCGAAATTTTAGGAATAAGCTATCTCTTGGTTTACGTGTGTTTTTAGGCATGGTCCGTTATAACATTCGTTATTGTGGGAGTGGCTAGGCTAGTTTTCTTCGTTAAGTGGTCAGAGAGTTAATTCTTATCTATAGATTCATCATCTTCTGAGAGGTTTTGCTAAGGTTGGGTAGGGTATCTATTTCAAGGCTAATGTTGGCGGTCATCCTCTAGTTAGTTCCCAGTGAGGGATATTTTTATGGCGCGCCTACAAGTCGTTATGTGTCGGGGGGATTGTGTTTTATTATTGTCTATCTGATTATCTATTTATTTATTTGTTTATTCAAGTTGTTTTTTTGTATGCAAACCGTATTACATTGAATTTCAATTTTTGTTTTTTGACGACTACAGAAAGCATCTTTCCTATTTAATGATTTGGCTCGGCTTTTAAGACTTTTATTAAACTATGGGATTTTTTATGATAATTATTTAATGCGAAAATTCGTTGATGTCGGCAAAAAACCGTTAACTCCTGCCTATGGTTTAATAATTTTTCATTATTTAGAAACTTAATGGTGTGTAGTTTTTCGTGTAAACATAAAGGGCATGGGTCGTCCCAGGTTTTAGTTCTTGTTCTATTTACTATTTTCCATTTTACTTTTGGTATTTTATTCGTTTCTTTTAGATGCCAGAAATATTGGGATAGAGATGTCTGATTTCTATTTTGAATATTGTTGAGGGAGCTCTTGTGTTGCCTCCATCTAATTTTAAAATTATTCTTCGTTGAGCCTATGTATATCCTATCAGTGTTAGGACTCTCAATGGATGAGATAGTGCATTGGTATACCACGGATTTTGTAAGGCATTTATTTTCCAACGGGCAGCCTTCGGGTTTCTACAATCACATAATTTTTCGTTATTTTTATCTAATTTTAGTTTATGAGTTTTATTACTGTTATGGCATGCGTGTTTTTCTAGGATTTTCTTATTATGTCTTTTTATGATTCTTTCTAGATTTTCAGTGCAGCTGTAACTCAATTTTAAGGTGTTTTTGTTAAAGATCTCGCTAAGTTTGCTATTAGTGGGAAAGTGCTTTTCAATTAAAGCTAGGAACTTATGGCCTAATTTGGTACTGACCATTTGGTTGTACGGAGGGGTATACCAGATGATCTTTCTTTTCCTGTTTTTCTTATTATTGGTACTATCGTTTCTAGAGGTTATGTCAGCGTTTGTGTATCCGCTGTTTTTCAGGGTTGTGTTATAAAAACTACTGTGTTGTCGGAACATTCCCTTATTTGCTGAGTTCATACTGATTCTTTTTCTCTATTGATGTGGGTATATGCTTAATTATAGATGGAGGGTGGTTTGACTTAGGGTGTACATACAGGGGATTAGTATTAGGTTTTCTGTAAGGTAGGTGAACGTTGTTCGTTAAATTTAGGGTTACGTCTAGGAAGTTTACTCTTTTTAATTTAGTGTTGAATATTGTTTTTAAATTTAGTTTTCCGAATTCATTATAAATTATCTTTCTAATTTTCTCTGTTTTAAAATTTGTGGAGCTCCTCACTACCATGATCCCGTTATCTCTGTATAGCCCGATGTCCCTAATGTCTAGTTCACGGTGGGCTGTTAGATTGTACAGTATAAATAGAGCGACAAGGTCCGAAGATTCTGCAGAGTCTAGAGATCCCATGGTAATGCCAAAGTTGTCATTAGTGTTTTTAATCCACTGGTCCCCATTATGGATGAGGACAGATTTCTTTGCACTAAGAATTATGTTTGTTTCTTCCTTAGTTAAGTAAGAATATACTGTAGCAAACTCCAGGGCAGTCGTGAAGAGGTCTTTTGATATTGACTGGTAGTAATCGACAATATCGAACTGAATTAGGGTGCAGTCGGGCTTATTGTCGATGTTGGTAAACCAGTTTATGACTTCTTTGGTGTTAATCCAGAGTTTTAATACAAGGTGTTTTTTAATTTGGCTAGTGATCCTTTCCAGGATTTTTTTGCTTATCTTTCCTATGTCGGATCTAGTAGGGTTTATCATTCTGGTAGTGGGGTCTTCCTCAAATTCGTGTTTGTGGTCTTTAAGAGTGATGTAGCACTCCTTTTCGGCCAGTTTGCCAACTCTGTCATTTATTTTTAATTTTTCAGTAATCATTTTACTAGTTCTATTGATTCTCTATTTATCTGAAAACTTATTCTTTGAAATAATTTATCTGTAAGTCAAACTCGGTATTGTTCTTGTCTTTGTTTTATGTTTTAATAGGAATAGGTAGGTTCTCCTATCGCCCGGTCCATACCATCCCTAGGACAGGAGTAGATGCTCAAACCTTGTTTCCTGTTTAGGAAGGGGTTCCCTGTTCCTTTTCTTTACTCTGGCTTTAATAGTGGTTATGTCATGACTTTTTTGTGATACGCGTAGATGGTGGCTACGTCTATTCCCAGGTTGGCAATTTTCTGGTTGCTCTTCCCGACTATTAGTTAGGAGCGCAAACTTGCGTAGCGTCTTGAGACGCTGCTCTGATCAACAGTTGCATAATATCTGGGTTCTTGCTGTGCCATGTAGCGCATGGAAGGGTGTCACTACAAGCATCACCGGTGGCAACACTGAGGCCATACTATGTTGCATTCTACACCAGTTCCCTACCTGCGCATGTAACATTAAACGACCGACTCTTACTACTACCTAAAATAACACATCCTTAGCAGAATAACGCATCATGACTATAAAGTACCAAAGATATAAACCTAAAATGGACCAAGAAAAAAACACTTAAAACTTTTAACCTTTCTTTCTCGAACATTCGTTTTTATCCACTGGCCCAAGTCACATGGCTCAGTGGATAAAAGCGTTGGTTGACTCTAGTGACTTGACCCAAAGTTTTGTGAGTTTGATACCTGGCAACAGCTAAACAAAAACTTGGAGAGTTAAGTTAAAAGAAAATAACTGATACTGAGACATCTATAAGAGGCATGGCATGCGGAATTAGACGAAATAAAGGGTTCAGTTCAAAATTCCCATCACTTAAAGAAGGCTGGAGCGTACAACGGCCGTGAATATGGAAATGAAAATGAAGACAACAGTCCGAATAATGTAAATAATTACAATACGTCATCTCAGAAATATAGACAAACCGCCTACTCATTTTAATTTATTAGGCATCGAACTGTAACAACTCACATTTATGAACTTACCCTTAACCTTATGAATATCCATGAGCACTCCTATACCAAAACTTTTGACAAAAAAAGAAAAAAATATTGAATATATAT